GTGATATGTGATCTTTGCACTCAAACTAAAATCAATATGCATAAAGATAGCTCATCAAATCATACGATGAGACAACAAAAATCAATAATAAAATGAGAAGCTAAATATCAAAATAAAATCTGCGACTCTTTAATTAAAATAAACATAGAAATGATTGTAAAAAAAACTTGTTAAATGAAAGATGTAAAGAGGAGTGGATTCTACAGACAATCTAAAGCACTGAAGATCAGGTTGGCTTTTTTTTGCGCCGAACGGAACTGCAGCAGAGCCCAAAGCAGCAAAGAATCAGCCTATTTAGATGTAAGATCTGCGGACAGACACAGGCCATAAAAACAGAATGTTGGATACAAAACAGAGAAGAGATAAAGAGACTTGAGAGGAAGGAAGGCAGACAACGATGAGCAAGAGACGACGGCACACACCTGTCTCTCACGGCAACAACAGCAACTAAAACAGTATCTACAACAATTACAAAAAACAACTACAAGAAGGAGGAACAGAGGAACCGAATGTACTGCGTATGCAAAAGAGCAAAAACATTGAGACAAGAGCACAGGGTACACTCTACTACATACAATAACAAAAACACACACCCCTCCGATCCGTACACCTTTCCACCTAGATTTCCCTGACCAGAGAATCTTTCGTCGAGGCCGCACCTTCCGCAAAAGAAAAATTATTTTGTTAGCCAGCGTCCTCCCACCACCGCCTTTTGCCTTCTGTCTTGTCGTGTGTCTTAAGTTTCTGTTTGCAAATAATAATAAAAAATATATTGAAAAAAAGACAGAGAGGGAGCTAGAAGCAGAAGAGCAGAGAAGATTAAGCTACGAGAGCAAGAACGGGATGGACATCACATGACATGTTGGGTGGGACCCGGACGGGGCAGGCAGGCGGAAGAGGGCAAGAGATCGGTCTCGAGACTTGCCCACAGGCCAATCGAAAGAGTGAGGGAGAGCGGTGTTCCAAACAAAGGCAGGGGGAGGAAGAGGAGTGGAATGAGATCGGTCTTTTGCTTATCGCGCTTATCAAATCGCCAACTGACAGAAAAACCCATGGAAAAGGAGAGGGAGGGAGGAAGATGGGGAAGTAGACTGGAAAATGCCAAGAAAAAGAGGTTTATCTATGTGGAAAGATAGCACAGATCCATCAGGGCTAAAAACTTTGTGTTTTTCTGCTGATTTAAGGTCCAATTACTTAAGATGATCTCTGGGGTTAAGAATCCTATAAGGGATATGCAAATGCCGGAGCAATAGCCCCATGAGGAAAAGAAAAAATAAATAAGGTTGGATAATAAAAGCAAAAAGCAGCAATGCAGAAAACTTCCATTTAAAAATAAAACGTATAACCATATTAGATACGGTGTCCTCCGTCTAATTGATTCCAGATATTTCCATTTTCTATTTTTCAGCTAATTAATCATGAAACATCAATTAGCAGACTGCCAAAGATCTGTCTGGAGTAAAAATTTCATTCTTATGGCGAAATCCACCATTAAATTGGTTAATTATTTCCCATATTTTATATAATAGATCCCCACACAAGGAGTATTAGAGATCATAAATTATTACATTTGCCCAAACGTGTACAATGGTTTCTTATCAATGTTGAACTTTTTCTTGAATCGCCTTTACAGATTAGAAAAAGCCAAAAAATGGTGACTCGATTTTTAGATGGATTTTTGCCTTTTTGCAAACCCCAAAACGTGGCCAACAGAGGGGAAAGCTTATCACAAATTGACTGATAAGCAGCCGCGACTTTAGAGTAATACTTTTTACTAGGAGGAGAGCTCTCTACCGGAGTATATCGGAGAGAGATCTGAGCGGCAGAAACGTGCTTTGCAATGGATTTCGAACCAGAAAAACACGATGAAATGGCAGCAACAGCCACAACAGCCAGTGGCCAAAGTATATTGACAGAGATTAGCATAAATTTGAAAATTTTATGAGCGATAAGCGAGTCGAAAGACCAAACAACCAACAAAGGGAACAAATATTTTACGAAGTTTGGATGCTCTTTAGACGAAAGTTTCCAGTCCTTTTTCGATTTGTTTATAAATGTATGAGGAACTGCATTACTGGGTATAAATATTTCCTATAAATACAACTCAGAACATTCACTGAACTTTCTTCCTGCCCGGCATAAGCCTCCTAACAAAATATACAAACCCCTTTCTATAAGAGTATACCCATAACAGATCCAATCAAAACACAAAATACAAAAACCTGTTGATGCCAAAACAAAGCTACACCAAAAAACACAAAAAACGAAGAAACGAAAAAAAATTAAATTTTAAAACATGAATATCCAAAAATGTTCCAATTTTAATTCTGGAAATGTAGTGACAAAGTCAATTTTTGGTAGGGGACTTAACAAGTGATTATGTAAGGGAAAGATCCCCAAAGGGGCGACCAGACAGTGCCACGAGTCGGTGGCAGAGGGGAAAGCAGCGAAAGTGAACAGCGCAGCTTGCGATCTGATTAGTCACGCGCTCTGCCAAGGGCAGCCAGAGGCGGCAGCCAGTGGAGCAGCAGCAGCAGAGAGCCATTCGCTCATTTGTCTTTTATGCTCTCTTAAGCGCTCTCTTTCCTGTTTTTGTTTTTGTTTTTGTTAGACGCAGTAGAGGGAACCTTTTCTTGGGTATTTCTTAAGTTAAAATAAGTACAAAACCGATACTAATTGATTCCATTAATTATCGGACTCTCCCACCTTTATAGTTGCCTTTCCCTCTCTTTGTTTGTTGTGTCTTCTGCTTTAAATAATATTGTTTGCTTTGTTCTACTCCTCACCTCCTCCTCTTATAATTCATCATCTTGTTTTCTTCTTTTGCGCAACAAAAATGCCGCAAGACATTTGTTTTGTTATTATTTTCTGCGACTGCGCAACGACTTTGAGATGTTCTCTCCCCATCCCCCAACCGTACCATCCACCTTTCAGGTATCAGTGAACGGGGATGGGATGGCAATGGAGTGGACTTTGGGACGCCACGTCCAGCGTCGCAGCGCCAGACAGAAATACATCCCATAACAAGACAAGGCAGGGTCCCCAGACCAGACCACAGCCAGAGTCCCCGCCAAAGTACAGCAGCAGCAGACGGCAGACAATGTTGGCAACCGGTTTGCGATTTATTTTTGTTGCTGTGTGCCGCCGCTGTGTACCCAACCCTCCAACGTCGTATCCCTCCCTCTCGCTTTGGCTCATTATTATTATTTGCTGAATATTTTTGGTACCCTTTGCGAAGAGGGGCATAAAGATTATAATAAATAGTTGGGCATGCAGTGAAGGGGCTTAACGTCTTCTTTTTCATTTACGGAAAAGCAATTTTTCAAATCAGTTGGGGAACTAAAACCTTACATAACATTAGCATACATATTTATTTGTATACAATAAATTGGTCTCTCCAATAAGCTCTTATCGGAGCATGACTCTTTCAAGGGTATCTAAAGCATCGATACCGCATGGCTCCAGCGTCCCTTCATTCTTGTTTAAATTGAAGCTTATTGGAGCGGATTTCAAACAAACACACACACACACATGGGTACAGAAAATAAGAACAAAATCGAAAGGCTTCAAAAACAGTGGCCTGCCGAGATGAAGGAGGAGAAGGAGGAGGGGTGGGTATGCATGCACTGCAGGGCAGGCAATAAATTGAGCGAAAATCTAAAAATAAGCTCCAATTGTCGTTGCGTTGCCGCACACACACCGGGCACCGACTGCGCTGCTGCAGCAGCAAACAGACGTCGACAGAGACAACTTGTCTTCGGCGTTTTTGGCCGGTCCGGTTCGGTTCGGTTCGGTCCGGGCCGCCATGGTCGCCAACGCCACTGCCGGCAGACGCTTTGGCAGCGCACGCAGTGGCAGCAACAACAACAAAAAAAGAGTAAAAGAATTTCAGAAATTGTATTATTTATTGTTTTTTGTATGGAAATATTTTGCGAGCGCTGTTTAAGCAGAAAATTAAGTAGTTTAAATAAATAATTCAACAAAAAAACGAGAAAAAACTGGTAAAAAAAACGGCATCATTGGCCTACCAAAAAGAGCAGCAAAAAATTGTTTAACAAGAAAGGGGGAAGGGAGGGGAAGACGGAGAATGCGCCATAAAATGCAGCTGCAGTTAAATAATAATTATTTTACATTTTATATAAATTTATAATAAATTCTAAAATGTTTCCCCGCTGCTCTCAGTGATACCCTTTCAGGCAGAGGGTACTGCGAAATTGTTAAGCAAATTTGGTACAGATAAAACGAGAGCAGAAATACCGAATTAAAGATTTAATACAAGAGGAGAATGCTGTTTGAATAGGAATTCAAGCATTAAGTACGTAGTACACACAAAATTCTCGCACTTCCCATCCCATAGTCCAAATATAGCCTAAAGCGTTTTTACTTGTTATTTTATACATTTTATGATCTTTTAACGGGCGGGCGGCAACAAAACGTCGTTAAAAATGATCGAATTGAATGAGAATTGCGAATGCGAATGGAGGAATAGGAACGGCAGAGGTAAAAGTATGAGTTTCAGTCGCTTGTCAGCATCGGACAGAGGGAAAGACGCAACGATACCAAATATGGGGCCACAGTGGGCGCTGCTGCTGCTTCTGCTGCTGTCGCTGCAATCGGTAGCTAAAGGTGTGAAGCGACTTTTGACGGCGCCTGTCGATGGCCTAACGAGCATTGTTGTTGCTGCTTTTGTGTTTCCGATTGCGATTTGCAGAATGAGCTTCACATATGATATATGGGACGGGCAGAAATTGTTTAGGGAAGCGAGAGCTATAGGGAGAGAGAGCAGCATTCAAGAGAGTGGATGATAGGGATCTTTCAGGTTGAACTTCAATCGTGATTTATTGGTCATTTGGGAAACTCCCTCGTATAAGAAAGAATTTGTTCCCTATGGAAATGTCAACACAGCAAAAATTTCCCAAAATTTCGCTAAAATGTCCCCTCCTTGGGGAATTTCCTTTCGCAAAATTCCAACATAAAAAGACATTTTTCTTAAACCTTACCTTTCGTTTCTTGTGATCCATTTCGAGTTGCGCCTTGTGCATTTCCTTGAGTTCCACTTCCTTGAGCTGATCGAGAATTATCTGATACTTTTCGCGATTCTCCACATCGAGCGCCACGTGGAGATAGTCGTGCCAATTGCGGGAGTCGAAACCCCAGTGGCAGGTCTGATTCTCGAACTTGCGATGCACATGCCCCACAAACTTCTGGGGCGAGAACCAGCCGTCGCACTCGAGGCACTTGATGCATGTGGGCTTCTGGTAGGAGTACATCTCCGGTGTGCAGATGCCCTCGCACTTGCCAAAACATTTGTGGTACACGTGGAAGCTGAGGGCGCCCTTGGCCAGGCTCTCGATGGGTATGTAGCTGTTGCGATCGGATCGATGCAGCAATGCGGCACAGAGGCGCTCCGCATCGGTGCGCGTAATCAGTCCGCTGGCTTTCACATCGGAGGGCAGGATCTTGGCGGCCTTGAACTCCACGAGCTGGTCGGGCGTGCACTGGGAGCAGTAGATGCCCAGCTCATCGAAGATCCGATTGATCTGCTCCAGCGAGAAGTCGTTCAGCACATTGTTGAGAAACTGCGGCAGGCACAGCCGCATCTCTCCGCCCACCGAGAAGCAGCCAATGGTCTTGCCCTCCAGCCGCGTCTCGTACAGCTCCCCGCAGCCGGCATCTGCCACCGAGAGGATCGGTTGTGAGAGCTCCCTCGGCGGTGTGGCAGGCGTGGCATAGATCTGTGGCGATGCTGCATCGCGATGGTGGTGCTGCAGCTCGTGCGGCTCCGGGGAGCTGAGTATCTCCTTCTTGATGAGTGGAATTCCGGGCGAAGGCGGCTGCTGCACCTTTCCCCCGCAGGTTGGACTCTCGCTGCGGATTCCGACTCCTCCTCCCGCTCCACCATTCGTGGATGCCACCTCCAGTGACGGACAGCCGCCGCCGATTCCTGCTGCTGCTACTGCGGCGGCTGCTGCCACGGCCAGGGCATGGCCGGGTCCTTGAAGACTCTTTGTGGCACTCGTCTGGTATTTCTTCAGCACGCTGCTGATATTCGGCGTCACGTATTCGGTCATGTTCTGGATCATTGAGGGGGGTGTGATCGCTTCAGGGGGCGTTGTGGGGCGGCCTCACTGGGACCACATGTTCGACCACGCTCGCTCTTTAAACTTTAATATTTATTTGTTAACAATTTGGCACATTTGTTGATTGACTTCACTTTTTCTGTTGCAAACTGTTTTTGCATTCATCATTTTGCCGACGGCATTTCGAAAGGCGGGAAAAAACGTATGTCCGCCTCTTTTTTTTGTACCCCCTCCTCTGGGTATTTCCACTTATTTGTGAGATATTTTTTCGGTAAATTAAATCTTCGGCGCAATTTCTAATTTATTAAATTCTTATATTTATTTTTCTGAAGCACAGACACACAAATACACGGACACAGTCGGCAGACACACATACACACACGAAGGCGAACGTCGCTTGCGGGGTGGTGGGGGGGTTTGCGACCCCAGACAGCGGCGACGCGACAAATTCTTATTGTGCCGCCGAAATTTCCGTTTTGCCGCCTTGTTTTTGTGCACTATTTATAAACCTTTTGCTGCTCTCGCTCTTTCTGCTTCTTGTTGCAACTTATATTTGCATTTCTCGTTATTTAATATTTTTATTTTGCATGCGGCGCCGCGCTCTGTTGTTTTATTTTTTACTTCAATTTCTTTCCCCTCTTTTTCGCAGGCGTCCGCACGTGCGAGCTTTTTTACCTTTGCTTTTGCCTTTGCTCACACAGTACGCACAAACACTCACACACACACACTGACAACGAGAAACGAACGCGCGCGCGATACGTCCGAACACGTCCAAAATTATACGGTAACTTCGACAAAAACCGACAAAAACGACAACAACAAAAAAGCTAAGCAAGCTTCGATTCAAAATATGGCTGCGCGCGCGGTTGGGTTCCCATTGTGAATTGTGTGTTGTTATTGTGAATGGGGGCAATTTGTTGTCAGGGAAATGCTCTCCCGAATGATAGAGGAGAGAGCGAAAGAAAGAGCAAACTCATTATTGCAATCCAAATATGAGCACAGAAATACCCTCGAAAATACCCAATAACGGGTAAAAAAAACCCGGCAGGTGTCTCTGTTGCTAGTTACATAAATATGTAGTTGGTATTTCGATGGAACTTACGAATAACTTTGCAAAATCAATCGATAGATTAAAATTTTCGGCTGGCGCAGCTGCGGTCACACTTGAACCGAAATTTGGAATATTTTTAAGTAAAAATAAGGTTTGTAAAGCAATTCTTAAGAAAACAACACAATGACAGAGGATATTTGACAGTGTGAAATGCTTATCTTGTCTTTGCAGAAGAATCGGAAGCTAGAAAATGCCGGAGCCGCGAAGCCCCATGGCCAGCTTCGCCCAATCGGTGCAGAATGTCATCGATGGACCCATTACATGGTTCCGTGGTAAGTCTGGGACCCGGCAGACACTACACTGCCATCTAAAGCAACTGCAGATGGAGCTACGCTATGCCAGATAGCAAGAATAATGCAAAAAGTGGGAAAAAACACTTTTCCATTACATAATGACATAACCTCAAAGGCGGTAGGCCAATGTTTTTGTTTACACGGCTTAAAATTTGCCTCTGAATTGTTGCTTGCAGAGACGATCGTGGAACCGAACCAGGAGAAATACAACTGGTACCATCAGCGCTTCAACCGAGTGCCGACCATCGATCAGTGCTACACGGACGATGCCGTCTGCCGCTTCGAGGCGGACCAGCAATTCCGTCGGGATCGCATGGTGGACAACGAGATTGTGAGCATTCTGCGCCAGCGTTTCGAGGACTGTACGCTATACGAGGCGCCCGATCACATGATCAAGTGCAAGCCCATACTCGAGCAGTACGAAAAGGCCACCGAGAATTGGTTCATTAAATGTGAGTGGAAATACCCGCTGCCTGCGGCACAACAAACTGATTGAATGTTTCCCTTTTTAGATGGCGATTTGGGCGGCTACGCCAATGCCAAGACGGCCTACATGAAGCAGAAGCATCGTTTGATCTGGGAGCGACGTCACGGCCCAGTGGGCAGCGGCATGAAGGGCGAAGAGCAGGCCGCTCATTGAGTCTTCGTTCATCCTCCTCCGAGACGGAACTGAGGTTTTGTTTAGTTCAATTTTCCGTGATTTCAAAACATAATACACACCCCGAAATGGTAAACACAAGTAGTCTGATGTGCGAGTCTATTAATTGTGGAAATATTTCTTAATTTATGGACATTGAAGTCGCTTCTGTTTGGAGCTTCTTCTCGGCTTGAATAATTTCTTCATCTACTTAGTTTAAAGTGCAATCCTTGTGTGTGGTTTTTTAGTCGATTAATTGCAGCAGTGTTTAACGTCAGTTGCTTGGCTTAATACTAATTTGTTCATCTAATACCCTAGTGTGGAGGGGTGTTGAAATTGCCATAGAAAGTTGCGCTTAAATATGCTTAAAGTTAAGTGAATAAGCCTCCAAAAGTGAAGCAGTCTTTAGTAGTAAATTCATCTAAAAGGGATTTCCCATTCCGCAATCAGCTAATGCTAACCAAAGGTTTGCTCATCAAACTCTTCTTGATCTTGGCCAGCGCACTGTTGGCATCGGCTGGCCGCTTGTCCTTGTTCTTGGGTCCCAGCGGTATCATCGTGGTGTCCATGAGGCGTCGCCGGAAGCCCTTGTAGAACTGCAACACCTGCGGATTGGCCCACACTTGCTTGGCATCGAAGTCGAGAATGCGTACGGATTGCAGGGACTTGGCACGGGACAGCGCCACATAGGCCTGACCCGCTTCAAAGACCTTCGACAGGGACATTTCCACGCAGTCGAGTGTGAGGCCCTGGCTCTTGTGTATGGAGAATGCCCAGGCCAGCTTCAGCGGCACTTGGCGACGTGTGATCGTGCCACCGGTGGCCGTCTTGATAATCCACTTTTCGTGCTTGCAGACGTACTCCTGATTGTTCTTGAACCTGACCACTGGCAGATCCTTTTCCATGCGTACCACCACACCGCGTGCACCATTCACCAGTCCATTCGATATGTTTATGTTCTTCAGGAGCATCACCTGAGCATTCACCTTCAGGTAGAGCTGGGATGGTGCTTGGACCTGCTGATCCAGCTGCTTGGTCATGCCCGCATCGGAGTCGTCTGCGCGGAAGAGCACCTTGTCCCCTTTGAGATTCTCCAGCTTCGATTCATTGATGGAATTCGCGTCATTCGTGTGGGAGCAGAGCTGAGTGGCGAGGATGCCATTGCCCTCGATTTTCTGCCTGGAGGTGGCCGCTAGCCGCGAGGTAATCGTTTCATTCACATGACCAATGCGCAAATGATTGAGGATTTGCACAAATTCCGGATCCGACTGTCGGTGCACCTGCTTCAGCTCGTAAACGCATTGGATGCACGTCTCCCAGGCGCTGGACTGAAAGCAGAAGCGCTGCTGGGGCGGAGCTGCACCAAAATCCCCCCGAATCACGGGCGGCAGCTGCAGAAAGTCACCGCAGAGGATCAGCTGAATGCCACCAAAGGGACGATCGTTGCGACGAATGTGCCGGGCCACTGCCTCGATTTTCTGGGAGAATTAAGAATTTAAGGGAGAATTCATTTGGAGCTTAACCTCTCCACTTACCTCAAAGAACTGCCCATCCACCATGGAGATCTCATCGATGATCAGCCGCTTGCACTTGCGCCATGTCTGAGCGCTGATCGGGCGCGAGGCCAGCTCCAGGCAACGCTGCATGGTGGCATCTCCGCCGCCAATGCCCGCAAAGGCGTGCAGCGTAGTGCCACCAATGAGGCAGGCGGCCACACCCGTCGAAGCTGTGGCTATGGTACCATCTGGCGGCAGCGCAGAGATGATGCGGCGCAAGAGAAAACTCTTGCCGGTGCCTGCAGAGCCCGTGAAGAAGACATTTTTGCCCGTGGTGCAGGCACGCAGCACTTCCATTTGCTCCTCGCTGAGGCGCAGCGATTCGTCTGTGCCGGTCAGTGGTGAGGATTGGTACAGCTTCTTGGCTGCGGGCACTGTGCCTTTCTCTCGATCCTGATCCTTGAGCTCGTCGAAGCGCCGCTTCTTGGCGCCCTGTGGCGAGGGCGTGGTGGTCGTTGCTTTGGGCACAAGTCCCGCCTTTTTGCGCGCCAACAACATCTCCGCTGTGGTCACGGGCGACACGTCCTCAAAGCTAGTTGGCTTGCCCGAGAGCAGGTGCTCCCTTAGCTTCTTCTGCATCGAGGCCTCGTCCGGCTGCCCCCCACCATCACCATTCATTTTGATGAAAATTGTGCGCAGGAAGAACATCAGGGTGCCTGGTGGGGCATTGGACAGATAGAGGGCACAGTTCTCCGCTTTGAAGTTGAACGTGGCCTTGCCCTCGGCCATGAACTTCTTGTGCACCATCAGATCCTTCAGCTTGAACTTCAGCGGCTTCAGCTTCTCCGGCGTCACCTCCACAAACAGCTCCCGGACATCGTTGCGAACCAAGCGCAGGGTGGCCGTCTTATAGGCCAGCTTGCGGCCCGTAATCCCCACCGCGTTGGTCCACTGTATGCTGACCGCACAGGTGAGCACAGCATCGCTTAGGTCCATGATGCTGTGTTAAAACAATTCAAACAAAAATAATATTTTTTTCCACGCGGCGTTCCGGCGGCAAAAATGGTGCGAACAGTGTGACCTGAACCTCAGAAATATACCTTCTTATTTTTCTAAATATACCGCCAATATACTGCAGCAAAAAACACTATTCACTCGATTTTGATGTTCCATTTGATATTGCAAACAAGTTAAAGCGCTTAGAATAGAAACTATAATATATATATATATATATATATATATATATTGCATTGATTGATGAATCGATTATCCAGAGCGTTTGCAAGTTTTCATGACTACCTTGTTTTGCAAATGAAGACTGAAATCTAAAAAGGAAAATACAAAATATACTGAATGCGCAATTATTTTTTGTTGCTTGATAAAACGGACCTTTGTATACCCTATTTCCAATAATTAATTTATTACAATCAAATAGGCTCTGAAACCCCCATTTTAACGAGAATACTCAAAATTCAGAGTTTTTGTAAGTCTCACAAGCGTTTGTGCTTCAAGCAAAACACAATTTTTCCCTGATTCGCTTTACATACCAACCGAAATTCAAGGTTGCTCTCCGGCTAACACGATGTTGACTCTGGATATGAAAAAATTGGTGGCCATGCTGCTGGCCATAATTACGGTCTCGCTGATCTCCACCATAATGTTGGGCAAGAGCATACACACACAAGAAGAGTTTGTTGACACAACCGCCGCTGGCGAGGACACGGAAATATTTGTGATGAGCCAAGCAGATTTGGATGTGCTCAAGGTGGAGCGCAAACTTGATTTTGGTTTACCGCTGCAGGGCGGTCCGCGCAGGGACTGGCACGATCGTGTGGCCATGAAGGCAGATAATGCAAAGTCAGGTCTGGGCGAGCAAGGATTGCCCGCGAAAATGATGGAAGCGTTGGATGCGGGGACTATTCAAGAACACGGCTACAATGCGCTACTCTCCGATAGAATATCAGTGAATCGCTCCATCGCGGACACACGACCCTTTCGGTGAGTAGCAAGAGCATTAGTGAAGCCTTTCGCAGGTCTATTACCAACAATCCCCGACAGGTGCTACCACCGCAAGTACTTGGCAAGCTTGCCCAGAGTGTCCGTCATCATGGTCTTTCACAATACGCACCTGAGTGTCCTGCTGCGGTCCCTACACAGCATCATCAATCGCACGCCACAACAACTTTTGCATGAGATTATACTCGTAGATGATGGGAGCACCGATACGGAATTAAAACAGAAGCTCGAGGGTTATGTACAGCAGCATATGGGGAGAAAAGTAATCATTAAAAGACAACCTGTGAGGACTGGCGTGGCTGTGGCCCGCGTGGCTGGTGTCAAGTCTGCCACAGGCAGCGTGCTCGTCTTCTGTGACGCTCTCATTGAGGTTGTCTACAATTGGGTGGGTGCTGCTGCAGCTACTCCCCGCCAGGCTGTATAACAATTTCAGCCTCCCCACAGCTTCCTCCTCTGATCGAGCCCATAGCCTTACACTACAAAATCGCCACCAGTCCCATGCTGGATAAAATAGATGCCACGGACTTTGCCTTCAAAAGGCGCGATCCCAGGTTGTGGCGCGGTGGCTTCAATTGGCACTTGAGCTACAATCAGCTGCCTGTGCTGCCCGAGGACAACAAGAGCGACTCGCAGCCCTATCGCACGCCTGTGATGGATGGCACGGTCTTTGCCATTTCCCGCAACTACTTCCTGGAACTGGGCGGCCACGATGAGGGGCTGGACACTGGTGGCGGTGAGCAGTTCGAGCTGAGCTTCAAGATTTGGATGTGCGGTGGCATGCTGCTGCAGGTGCCCTGCTCCCGCGTGGCGCACATAGACATGGCAGCCAAAGAAGAGGCAACAGAACAAAGTGCAAGGGTAAGGCAGGCTCCAAACTTCTCATTGAACTTCTCTTTATCTATTTTTGTGTACAGAACTTCAAGCGCGTGGCTGAGGTCTGGATGGATGGTTACAGACACTATTTGTACGCGCAGAACCCCATCAAGTATCAGCTCAGTGCCGGGAATGTCACGCAACAGAAGAAACTACGCGAGCAGCTCGAGTGCAAGAGCTTCAACTGGTTTCTGCACAAAGTGGCCCCGGACTTCTTTGAGCGGTTCCCGCCCGTGGAGGAGAGCCAGCTTGGGGCCTATGGCTCGGGCGCAATCCAGAGCGTGGCCTTCGCTGGCTACTGCATCGATGCTTGGACCGAACACAGCCGTATGCCTGTGGGCATGCGGAGTTGTAGTGCAAATCTGACGCATCCACAGGCCACGCAGTTCTGGCGGCTGACGCGGGATTTGGAGATTGTTTGCATGAAGAATTTGAAGTGCCTGCAGGTGCGTGGAGCGGCGCCAAATGCCACTGTGTGGCTTGAATACTGCCACAAGGGGGACAACCAGGTGTGGTACTACAGCAGCCACAGCAAGTGGCTGCAGCAGAGCAACCAGATGAATCGCTGCCTGGAGGCCTTTATGGATGGAGGCGGAAAGCCGTTCGTACGCATCAATCACTGCTTTCCCGAGAGTAAGAGCCAGCGCTGGCAGATCGGTTGGACCAATCGTTATATGGATACTCGTTTTCGTACCAATAGCACGTTGAAGAAACGCAAATTTCTCAGTTTGCTTATTTAAAGTTGACAAATTGCAACGAATAAACTGTTTATCGATAGGTAGAATATCGATAGAGCGTAACTCATACTTATTGCCAGCAGGTGGCGGCAGCATGACGCGCGCTTATCTCTAATTTGAATGCATTTTTTTTCTTCTTTTCTTTGGTTTTGGTTTTTATATGGTGTGGAAAACGTCTTACACGTCACCCAGTCAGCGTTCCAGTTCGCCATTAATGCTGATTGATAGTGCAGAAGCATGTTGCCTAAAATGTTCGACTAAAATCGAATTTGCCTCTCGCCTTATCGCACGATATCTGCACTTGCCCTGTCGCAATTACATTAATGGGCCCGCCGTTGCCACGCACTGCCATGTAGTCGCCGCAGCACACCGCACGACGGGCAACGATCTTGCCAGCAGTCTCCAAAAAAGACTTCCACCTGCACAACGTCGCTGCATCCCCGATGGCCATGAAGAAACGCTACGTCAAGCGACTGGTTCGCAAGGTGATATTCTGGCTGCTGTCCATTGCCGCCGTCTCGCTGGTCACCACGCTGATTGTGGAGAAGCGCATAGGACCCAGCCCCACCGATTCGGAGGAGCATCTTGATCCCAATGGTGATCCCATAACGCCCGTTTTCCGGGCCGCCAATCTGCAGCCCACGCGTCGTGCTGCTCGTCCGCCCTACCAGGATCGCAGCCTGGCCAGGGAGCAGCCGCGCGTGGAGCAACCTCAGCTGAATGGCTTCAGGCTGCCTGAAGTGGAGGGCGAGCGACGCGACTGGCACGACTATGCCGCCATGGAGGCGGACAAACTGCGTTCGGGTCTCGGGGAGCATGGGCTGCCCGCGGAGATCGAGAATCCCGATGAGAAAGAGTTGGAGCAGCAGCTGTACAGAAAGAATGGGTTCAATGGTCTGCTCTCTGACAGGATTTCCGTCAATCGATCCGTGCCGGATGTGCGATTGGAGCAGTAAGTAGAAGACAGCTTGGGTTACCCTCACATAACTCCCTTTTCCTTTTCCTTTGCAGATGCAAGACCCGCAAGTACCTGTCTAAGCTGCCGAATATCAGCGTGGTTTTCATCTTCTACAACGAGCACTTCAGCGCCCTGCTGCGCTCCATCTACAGCGTCATAAATCGCACGCCAGCGGAGCTGCTCAAGCAAATCATACTCGTGGATGATGGCAGTGACTGGGAGACGCTGAAGCAGCAGCTGGACGACTATGTCTCCCTGCACTTTCCCCAACTGGTGACGGTGGTGAGGAATGTGGAGCGCAAGGGTCTGATTGGAGCACGGCTCGAGGGTGCCAAAGTGGCCACCGGCGAGGTGATGGTCTTCTTTGACTCACACATTGAAGTGAACTACAATTGGGTGGGTGTTAGACATAGCCTTTGGTTGGCTCTTCTATGACTTCCACTTGCCTTGCAGCTGCCTCCCCTGATCGAGCCCATAGCCATCAATCCAAAGATCTCCACCTGTCCCATTGTGGACATCATCGATCACAGCAACTTTGCCTACAACGGTGGCTACCAGGAGGGCTCCCGCGGTGGCTTCGACTGGCGCTTCTTCTACAAGCAGCTGCCCGTGCTGCCCGAGGACAGTGTGGACAAGTCCCAGCCCTATCGTGATCCCGTCATGATGGGCGGCCTGTTTGCCATCAGAACTGATTTCTTCTGGGACCTGGGTGGCTACGACGATCAGCTGGACATCTGGGGCGGGGAGCAGTACGAGCTGAGCTTCAAGATTTGGATGTGCGGCGGCATGCTGCTGGATGTGCCCTGCTCCCGTGTGGCGCACATATTCCGCGGACCCATGGACCCCAGACCAAATCCCAGAAACTACAACTTTGTGGGCAGGGTGAGAAATCGTTCTTCGATCCTGAGGCTTCCACTTACATTTATTTTACTTGAAGAATCACAAACGTGTGGCCGAGGTCTGGATGGATGAGTACAAGGAATACGTTTACACGCGGGATCCGCAGACCTATGACAACATCGATGCTGGCGATCTGACGCGTCAGCGCGCCATTCGCGAGCGACTGCAGTGCAAGTCCTTTGACTGGTACATGAAGGAGGTGGCCCCGGACTTCCTCAAGAAATTCCCGCCCGTGGAGCCGCCCAACTATGCCTCGGGTGCCATACAGAATGTGGCCTATTCCTCCTACTGCCTCGACACCATGAACCAGGGCGCCCACAATGCCGTGGGGCTGTACAGCTGTGCGGAGAATCGCACCCATCCGCAGAACAATCAGTTCTGGCTGCTCACACCCGATCGGGAGCTGCGGCACAACGGGGCGTCCAACTGCCTGGATGTGCAGGACCAGCATGCGAATGCCACGGTCTGGATGTGGAGCTGCCACAACCAGGGCGGCAATCAGTTCTGGTACTACGATCGCGCGCACAAGTGGCTGGTGCATGCCCCCAACGGGCGCCGCTGCATGGAGGCCATTGTGGCGCAGGAGGAGGGCAAGGCTGCGGTGTACACCAATGAGTGTGATCCGGCAAACGATCGCCAGAAATGGGAGATCGGCTACGTCAACAACGAACTGCTGGATAAGTACTTCGAGGGAGTGTAAAGCCAGAGCCAGACCCAGGCCCAGCTCCACAGACTTTTTTCATCCATTGTCACAAGCAGTACATATTTATGTACATATATGTACATATATGTATGTACATATGTACAACGATCGCTTCAGCAAGTTCGTGGAACTCGCGCACGAGGAGCCAGCCTAGCCTAGTTCATTGCTCGTTGCGAAGGTTTCCTTCTCCAGTCTCTAAAATAAATTCCATTTTTTCCATTATTTTATTCTGTTGCCAACTTCTTGAGCCCCATGCATTATTGATATACGGCGCGAAGGGAGAGTGAATGAAAGATCCGAACTCAGATCTGAGTTGTGGTTTCTGTACTTTTAGGCGCTGCATAAATCCTGTTGAATCAGGATTGGTTTTGGGCTCTTGCATAGACAAAGACCCGGAGAGTACCCTTAATCGGAGAAGTCAACAAGGAGCAGAGCCAGAGCTTTACAATCAACCATTGGTTATGGGAAGACCTGAAAGACATCTCTAGGCGGCCTCCCGCTACTTGTACAAGTTCTAAAAATCTAAAAAAAAACCCACAAAAGTGTATTTTTTATGGCGACTTTGCGCCATCTATTCCTCATTTCACTGTCAGCATCTCTGCCCAAAAGCCTTATCACAGGCTATTGAACTTTATTTTTGGCACTGCAAAAAGTTGACGAAGGCAAGGGAAGGGTGTTGGAGGGAGCTTGGGTAGAACACCCAAACCAATGGAAGATGCCAGAAGTAATCGGGAATCTGGTGTTGTTTAGCTGATGTAATGTAAGACGCAAATTACGCGACTCCAAGAGTGCAAAGGATGAACCTCCTCCCCTAATGGCAACTGGCAATGACTTGGCCGTCAAGCAGTCTCGATTCGATCTGCTGCGGCTGCATCCTTATCGCTGCAGTCTGTGGTCTGCTGTGCGCTTATCTCGTGGGCAGACCATGTGCTCGGGGCACATGCTAATTTATAGACTTAATGGATGAATATTTTTTGCTGTTTTGCTGTACGTTTTCCTCCCCCCTGTGCTGTCTTTTGCTGTGTGTATTTTTCATATTTTGCATAAACAAAGTCAAATGAATGATTTGCTTTTTTTTTGGCCAACTGAATGTGGGTCATCGACGTCAACAAAAATTGGGGGATGTTTTGCTTGTTGTTGTTTGTACACTTTCTTATCGAAGCCTATGGGCTAAAGGAAGTATTTGATGGTAATAATTTAGATAATGTATAGAGAACCCTTTATGGATGTTGTATGGCAAAGAGTTCCCTTGCCATTTATGGCATCTGAAATTGTATGGCATAATCACACTTTTATTTCTCAGAGTAACCAAACTTCGCTCTAAAAATCAATTTCCCCTTTCTGAGGCTGTTGATATTTTCATTCGATTTCGATTTGGATTTCGCTTTTCTTGTTTCTGTATTCGCATTGAATTAAATTTCGGGTCTCTCATTCAGAACTATCTTTGCCTCGTTTAGAAATAGATCCGAGAGCCCACGCAAGCGCTTGCTGCAATTTCATCAGCAAATTCTATACCGAAAATAATCCCCATGAGCCGTAAACAACAATACACAAATTTCGATGTTTGCCGGGTAGACCGGTCCGCAGCACTCCCAGAAAATGTCTCAAAGACGCATTTTCAGTTGGCTGCAACGCAATAAGAACATTTCTCACTCTCTCTCTCACTCTAGGAATCTCTCTCCTTTGGATGCGCAGGTACTACTGAAACCGAAACCGAAAGCGAAATCGAAATCGAAATCCAAGAACCAGTTCTTATGAGTCCATTAGGGGGGTTGATAAGAGACCCTAATGGGTGAGGTGAGTGCTTCTCTGTTGTATCTCTATTTTCTCTCTCTCTCTCTCTCTCTCTCTCTTGAAAAATGTGGAGACCCGGCACACGCACGTAGGGCAGGTTTCTATGCTGTGGACTACGTGCGGGATGACACATCATAATACCATCGGAATCCCGTGTGTTCTGGTTGCCTATGCCTAAAATGTTGTTTACGGTTAGGTTCTTTGGGGGTCAGTCAGTCAGCACTTAGCTTACATCGATTTGTCTGTTCCTCAGTGCCACCCACTACCTAGGCACCCGTTGCCAGAAATTAATGTATGTGGGTCATGATAACATTCCCACTTTAAGTCGTTTGCACTTGGCACTTGTTGGTGAACCAATTACTGATCAAACATCCCATAAAATATCCCATTTATTAAAGGTATTTCAGCTCTTGGCTTTTTATATTAATTGTAAATCTCTGAAGAGGCTTTCCTAATGCTTCTATTCTACCATCCCCAATCCCCTTCAAAATCTGCTTCTATAAAAACTGCCAAAAATAATGACTGAACACGTTTCCCGTCCCAGTGTTTTTCCATTCCAAGGCCTTTCTCCAATTTAAGCAGAATTCTTTTGGACATCATAAATTTCCGCACACTTGCTGCTGACCTTGAATCCTCTACGTCGGCGCCAATGATTGTCCCACATTGTTGCGTAGATGCCAATACACGTGGCAGCTTTACATTGCCCACTGCCATGGACGTTGGCCAACAATTCGAATTACGTAGCATCGTGGGCGCCTGCTACGTAAGCATCGGAGTGAGTTCCTTTGCCACTATTTTACATGCGTCCGTCCAACAGTTCGAATTTTGTCAACATCAACAACGCCCCCACAGCTCGTGCCACTTGGTAATTAAGTTTTATTACTGATGTGCTCTACACGTCAGCCTAGCCGGCAAACGTGCCATTATGTTAATTAGTTATAGATTGGCCGAACACTTCCCCAAATACGAAGGAATCACTCGCCCGTCATGCCAAGGAACCAACTGATGTGTCTGGGGTGCATCACCTACTCGCATGGATGATTAACTCTGAGTCATTCTCTTCTGCTTAGGCATAGATAATAGAGTTTTTCGGAATGGAACCCCCCCCTTTATGCATGAGATGTTAAATCAATTCGATGCGATACGAATCTGCTGTTTGTTCATTTAGGTATTCCATACTAACTTGTTTACCAATAATATTGCCGTGCATTAAACAACAAATGGCTAAAGATAAACAAAAAGCCCAAGGCAAAAGGCAGCGGCTAGCAGGCCCCCCCACTCCACTCTAACGGTCACTCTTGATCGCTCTTTATATCTCTGTCTCTATCCTGCTTTTGCCAGAACCGTCTGAGGTGTGCAGCAGACTAAAAGAAAAACAACCCCAAGAAAGGAATACAAGAAATTGGCGGATCGAAGTCTTCGATACCCTTTATTTATTTATTTCCCCAAGCTCCTTTGTTTGGATTATAGTCATAAAGAGTTCAACTTTTCCAACAAAAAAATGAATTATTGAAAAATGGTTATTTTCCGGCAGATGGTTTCAATGAAAGTTTTAATTATGGACTCTACACAGTTGAATTTATCCTTTCCTACTTGATGCACATCACATATTTGATGCTTCCTCATCTGGAGGGCGCAGGTCCAGTCCAAATCGTCACACCCCTCTATGCAAAGGGTATCAAACCGATTCATTAGAATAAGCAGGCAACAACAACAGCAACCAGCGACTGGGAATATTGTCATAATACGCAGAAATGCGGCGGGCAGCGAAAACATCACGCGAGCGAGAGAGCGCGACAAAACAATGACAAGAGAAGAGAGAGAGTGGCGCCGGAGAGAGCGGGCAGAGGTCGCTAGCAGAGCGCCGTAGTATATATAGCAGCGGGCAGCAGCGGTGTGACAAGCATTCGGCCCCAACCTAACGGACAAGCAGCAGTAGCAGTAGCAGAGCGGGAGAGACAGCTGATAAGCCAACCACGCAATTTGTGTAAACAATAAACAAGAGTCGTAGAAGAAACGACGATAAAAGCAGTAAATTAATCAAAAGTGCTTACTTACAACCAAGCGGAAAGTTTTTCCAAATACCAAGAACCAGCAATAAAAAAAGCCAATCAAAGATGTCTGCATCACCCACCGCTCGTCAAGCCGTTTCCCACGCCCTGCCCATGATGGCCGTTAAGACCAAGAAGATCGTCATCACGGACCCCATCCAGATGCCAGAGGTTTACTCCTCGACGCCCGGCGGTACCCTGTACTCCACCACGCCCGGAGGTGAGTGTCGGTCGCAAATTTAGTTTATTTTCGGGTTTTTTGGCTGATGAAACTTTGCGTCTGAAGTGAATCAGTCAGGCAGATAAGACACGCATAAGAGTGTCAGCGCGCGCACATGTGCGCCTGGACTTCCGACTGACTCACTATCAACATTGCGCGCCAGAAATGTTTGCTCAGCCGTAGCCATTGTTATCGCTCGGAACTTTAATGCTGATGCAATGGGCACAGAGGAATACCTTTGACTAAACAATGAATTTCCATTCCAGGCACCAAACTGATCTATGAGCGTGCTTTCATGAAGAATCTGCGTGCTTCCCCCTTGAGCCAGACGCCGCCCAGCAATATTCCCAGCTGCCTGATGCGCGGCACACCACGTACCCCGTTCAGGAAGTGTGTGCCAGTGCCCACGGAGCTGGCGAAGAAGACCCAATCGCTGAAGATCGAGGATCAGGAGCAGTTCCAGCTGGAGCTGTAACCCGATCAGCGATGGGGCCTCAATTCCAGTCAAGCAGCAACTGCCAAAATCATCTAGTTTTTATGTTTGCCCAGACACTGATCTTATAATCTTAGAGAGCGTCCGTCATTTGTTAACAAAACTTAAACCTGAATCCATTATCCCATCTTAGTCCTTAAGCCTAGCAGCACTTTGCGATTGTTCAGTTTCGTTTTGTTGATTCAGTCATATTGACTTTGTATCTTTTTAATCTCTAGCTCCTAAGTGAAATGCAATGCAATAAAACAATGTGTTTGAAAATCAAATCTAAAATCTAAAATCATATAAGCCAAATAATTACTTTCTTTATCAGCAAATGAACCTTGAGTTTGTGTTTGCCACTTTCCACTTCACCTTGGAGGGCTATTCCGATTGATTCACCTTGAGTCTACGTTGAAATTTTGGCAGTTTATTGAACTGAATTTTAGATTAAGAGAAAAAGATAGAGCTGCAGACAAGAGAGATGGAAAAACCGGCCGGCATTTTGGCCCCCAACTGGGGTGTAGCAGCGCGTGGCCCAGTTCTAGACTATTCAAACAGCCCGAGATCAACTTGAATGTGAATAGACATAAATAATGTATTCGAGTGTGTACATATAAAGGCAAAACAAGCAAAAAAGGGGCACAAAAAATAGATCTTGTAGAACTGCGCATTTAGCAAAAAGACTCGTTGAAGAGCGCGGCAGAGCCCTGCCCTGCCCTGCCCTGCTCTGCCTTTGCCTTTGCCGGTCGCACATGTTTCGACCCCTTCACACTCCACCACACAGAACCCGATCCGATCCAGAGATCTCGCAAAGCTTCCCAAACTAGCCGGCACGTTCCAATCGCATTATAAAATTGCGCATGAATAATTATGGAGCCACACCAACACAATTTTGTTTGTTTTTCAATTTAGCAAACAAATGCAATCTGATTTTGAAGCAAACACGAAAATACTCAGTATATTACTAGAAATAGCTGGCTATAACCGGTACTCGAAGAGTTAATGGCATTTCTGTCCTCCCGTCCGTTTTGTGTGAAGCCTAGTACTCAGAGCCTTACATTTTGAATATACGAGAAACCCAAAGTTCCATTTAGCCTGACCATATCTATCAGATCACCGAATTTGGGTAAGATTGGATTATTTTTATAGCCAGAATAAATAGCCCGCCACCCAATTCAGATGTAGAAGTGATGTATGTAGATGACAGATGTAGAAACAATTTTAGTACAAATGCCGCTGTATTAACTCGACATCCCCATCTACATCCTACGTGTAACTTTCGCCGTGTAAAGTATGCGGATTTAGTGGCGCCCACACAGTTCAAAGCGGCTAACTTTTGAACTAACGATGTGTGCACACATTAGACAGCTGGCAGCTATGAAATCGTTTTGGACCGCGCAAATATTAAAATATGAAATAAATCAAATTTGAGGAGTTCCAAGAAATTAATAATAATTGTACACCCCAGATTAAACGCAACTCATATTAAAAATAGATGTGTGTTTATTTGATCAAGTTTCGATGTTTTGCATAGGAAAATGTACAAGAATCTCAAATAACTTCGGCAATCTTACAATCTAAACAAAGAGAGCGAACTTTAATTACATATTTACAATAAAAATATATATAATTATATATATGTGAGTGCGTGTGTGTGTGTGTTTTATTGTACAGCGAAAGGGAATAGGGAACCCTAAGGGAACAGCCTCTACTTGAACCTCAGAAAGTTCCCTGCTCCCCCCAATGGACCGTGGCCAAAGTGCAGGGCGTCGGGCGTGGTCTCGGATCGAGTGCGGGCATCCAGCACAGAGGCCACACGCTGCTGGCCACTGATGTAGCCCAAGGAGCCAGAGCCCAAGTACACATTGCCATTGGCCAGGCGCACGAAGCCCAGACCACCGGAACCCAGGGCGATGGCATCTCCCTGGCCCTGGCCCTGGCCCTGGCCCTGTGCGCGTGGCTGGATGGAGAGGGACTGCTGTTCCAGCAGCAAGGAATTGGCACGCGAATCTAGTTGAATGCCATTGCTGGCACCGGAGGATGCACCCAAATGTGCTCCATAGCGATCGAAGAAGGTGGAGCTGGAGAGAAACGGAGCCGGTGACTCGTCGATGTCGTTGTCGATGATCTCAATGACGGCGTACTGCTTGAGCTGCCTGCCATTGGCCACGTAGGATTCCCCGGGCGAAATCAAAGCCTTCTTGCCGAAGGGTATGCGCAGGGGTCCGCCTGCAGGCACCTGTCCCGGCCCACTGGGCACCACGATGGGCGTGGCAGCGGTGGGTGCCTGAGGCTGCGAGTAACCGAAGCCGGGCGCACCATAGACGGGCCTCAGCGTGGGTGCCTGGCCATGAAAGCTGATGGAGGCGATGGGCGCTGCCACAGGCGGCGGCAGGTAGGTGGAGACAATGGGTCCCGCTGCCTTCGGCGGCAGATAGTGGCTCACAATGCTGGCAGCAGGCGCAGTCGGTCGAATCCTGGGTATCGGCACTCTAGCGGTGGGTAGTGGCGGCAGCGCCGGTATCGGTGGCAGCGGATGGATCGTGGGCAAGGCACTAAACTGATGGCTCGGGTAGATGGCGCCAGGTGCCGACGGAGCAGACGGAGCAGACGGAGCCGACTGATGCGAGGGTCTGTCGTAGTGGTAGCCGACATCCGCTTGGATCGACTGCAGCTGCAGCGCAAGGGAGAGCAGCAGCAGGCCCCGGACAGACAGTCGAGGATGTGGCATCTGGAATGGAGGGAATAAGAAACGAATAATTGCTCGTGTGACATCATACAACAGCTCAATCAATGCGATAAATGTTTAATGAGCATTCAAAGTCGTAAACATAATTGAACAAAAATCACTCAACGTTAGCGCCGGTTGTCTGTCTGCTGCTCTTTCGTTGTGTTGTGTGGGGAAATAAATACTCTACAGGTATCAAGGGGTGCAGCTGAGTATGAAAAGAGTATCCAAAAATCAAACACACGCTGGCTGTTTCCTACTCAATTGATTTAATTCGCGGTGCAACAACTGGTTGCCGCTCGTTGGATTCCGTTGGGGCTGCAGCTACTGTAATTGCCGTGATATTTCATGCATCGATCATTGCGAACCAAAAAGCCAAACATCTCCACCCGCACAATCTTTGAACCAATTAAATGATATCGTTCCATTTAATTGGATATTTAATATTCATTCGTCCCATTAACACTTCGGCGTGGCCCTCCTGCATCAATCTTCCTGGGCGCACAAACAAAAGCCAGACCTAGGCGGGCGTCGGCCTAATGATACTTATCAACTCTTTAGAGTCGCCACCAGCACAGTGCCACAGCAGCAGTAAAAAGCCAATGAAAAAGCTGGAAGTTTTATGTACACTCTGCATTTTGTTCGACTTTTGCTTAGCTTTTGCGTGGAATTCTGACAAATTCTTGCTTGATTTCTTATGATAAAAAAATATGAAAATTACAATTTGTCCCTGGTAGTTCTTGTGGCGTGTCTGTTGCCCTCTTGTAGGGTATACGTTTTATGGGTTGTAGTTGGTGGCCAAGTGGCGTGTGGTCATTGTTGCTGCTGCTGCCGCACCGCGTGGGCGTTGCTTTGGTGGCAGTTTCTGGCTGCCAGTCCATGCTCAGACTTTTTGCTGCCACTTGCCTTTGTTGTTTACATAAAAGGCGTTTAATTAAGCCATTAACAGCGGCAGATAATAATAAAACATGTACTACACTGCGGGGGAGATCAAATGTGATCACAAAGTGTGGGAAACTATGAACTGGGAAATGAAATTATGAATCTAAATAGAGAAGAACCTACCCAAAAGGTTCCCTTTTTGTTTGCGAGCAAAATAACCTCCTGAAACTGGTTGCCCGCACACACAAATAGATTTGTAATAAATTATGCTCCATGTGCTCCATAATAAATCAGTAAGCTCCAGCCCATACGCAACTTTTTTTTTGGGTATATTTTGCATACAGGAAAAACGCATTTTAGCAGCGCGTGTGCCAAGCAAAGGGGTTTTTCCGTTGCCCCCAAAAGACAGCGAGGTACAGCCAGAGGGTGACAGTTCAGTTCAGCACAGTCAAAGCCAGGGCAGGGGCTGAAGTTTTCAATGGAATTGAATCCCCTCTCGGACCATGACTATGCCACTGAGTGGAAAGGCACTTGGCCAGCGGCCGGCTGTCGTTGCGTGCCTTTGGCCACTTCGAGCTCAATGAATGAATTGCATTGATTGAACGACTCACGCACCTCGCCTTTGGTCCACAAGCCAACTCCACTTCTGGCTACGCGCTCTATAAATATTTCCTTTGGAAAGGTGCAGGCGGCTGCAGTGAAAACTGTGTCAATGCAGACTCCAAAGTCTGAGCTGCTTTTTGGGTTGATGATTGCATCAGAGACTGCGCCGCAAATCGAATTAAATGGCAAGATTATTTCTGTTTTGGGAGGAACGGAAATTAGATTTTGTTTCAATTAAAATCCTTTGCCAAAGGCCAGGGAGTTGCAGGCCATAAGACGCAATCACTTGGCTGAATATTAAGTTACTCTACGCAGAGCTGGCAGCCAGTGCCAGGATGTCACGTCATGGCCGCCTTGCTGGAACTTGGAGTCGGGAATGGTCGTGGCAGCCAGAGGTTGTGCAATCTGTTGCCAATCTTCAAAGTGCGTTTCGCTCTTAAACTTTTGCCGTGTGCCGTGTGTGTGTGTTTGGGTTTTGGATTAGCCAAGGGGCGTTGTGCTTGTTTTGCATTTAAACCAGTTTAATAAACTGGAATCATTTGCCATCGCCACTCAAAGTACCCAATCCCCAATCCCCATCGATGAGGGCTGCAGGAATGCTCAGCGAGTGCGGAGTTGCTAAGCTGCTAAGCTGCTGAATGCATTAATCACTCAGCTGCACATCCTCCTCCAACGAGTCTCCTCTCCCCCCCCCATTGAACACTTCATGACAAATGTTGCGTATGCGCCGCGTTGACCGACTAAGAAACGCAATGTGAAAGGAATGTTGCTGGCTCTTGATTGCAGATGGAATACGCTTGCAGTTTAAGGATGTTAGCGAATTCTGGTTGACTAATTGAGGACACTTTCTATGGCAAGTGCAATTATTTATTTCTTGAAGATATTCCACATCAAAACTTGAGGAAAGTAGAAAAAGTACAACAAAGTATTGATACAAATTAGCAGCATTTAAGTGATGAATTAAATGCACTTAGCAGCGAGAGGGCACTGAACCAACATTTCCACAATTCATTGAAAGATGCTTTGAAGTGTGATCAAAACTTGAAACAAAATATCTTTCTGTCAGC